TATTAAGGTTTTTTCATGTTTTTGAAAGATGTCTCTTAATCTCACCAAAGCTGTATTTATTTGATAAAAAATACAGTAAAATCGATAATACTGAAATATTTCAATTTAAATTAACTAGTTTCTGATGTAATATATTTTAAAATGTAATTTATTCCTTTGATGCAAAGCTGAATTTTTAGCAGCCTTCAATGTCACATGATCTTTCACATGAAATCATTATAAGATTAAGATAATTTCTTATTATCAATGTTGAAACCAGTTTTAGCTGCTTAAGTTTTTTTTCTTGTAGTCCTGATACACTACCATTCAAAAGTTTGAAGTAAGAGAGATTTAAAAAACAAACAAAAAAACACTTATTTAGCAAAGGCACATTAAATTGATTGATGAAGACATTTATAAAATTGATAAATATTACAAAAAAGTTCTATTTATAATACATTCTGTTCTTTTGAACTTTCTGTTTATCAAAGAATCCTGAAAAAAAAATCAGTTTCCACAAAAATATTAAGCAGCACAACTGTTTAACATAAAAAAATAATAATAATTAAGGCACCAAATCAGCATATTAGAATGATTTCTGAAGGATCATGTGACACTGAAGACTGGAGTAATGATGCTGAAAATTTTGCTTTGCATCAAAGCAATAAATTACATTTCCAAATATATTACAACAGAAACCAGTTAATTTAAATTGTAATAATATTTCACTGTATTTGATCAAATAAATGCAGCCTTGGTGAGATTAAGAGACATCTTTAAAAACCCTTAACGTTTCCAAACTTTTGACCGGTAGCGGTCAGATCACATTCATTTTGCCTGTCACACAACAAAATAAAGAAATCCTATGACCTTACATTCAAGGGGGATCCTGGGCCATATATAGGAAACTGAATATTTTAGAGAGTTGTGGGTAGTTACCAATAATCAAGCACCCAATGTTTTGCAGGATTTTAAGCCTTGTATTTTATCCGCAGAGACAATATTTAATAGTAACACAAAGGGCTATTTTTGAGTCCCGCGGATGGATGGGGTCTGCGTGCTGGAATGCATGCTAGTGTGCTCTACAGGGGGTTAGTATGACTTAGCAGTTTTCCACTGACGGCTCACATCTCTGCTGATGCAAAAACAAGTCCTCTGGTTTACGGAAAAATCAACCTGGAGGAGAGAGTTGGAAGGGCTGAAAGTGATTCATTTTCATGATAAATGAATACTAGAATTCATGTTCTTATATAGCCTAATTATACCACTAACTCAATCTGATATTAATTTCTTCTTTTTAGGGTGTACATCGGAAGGCGTATTACTACATCTGGCACATTTTGAGGGAGCAGGAAAAGCCAAGAAACAAGACAAATCTCATATACGCACATCCACCATCTCAGCTGCTTTGTCGTGAATAAGTGCTCGTGTAGATGCAGATAGGGCAAGGTCACGTGACACATTTCCTCTCCCCGGCTGTGAGCCGCTCTGTCTCGCTTCCCCCTAGTGTATTTCACCGGCCTTTCCCATAATTCCTCTCCCAAATCGACATGTAATGCCAAGTCCATTCCAGGGCCGTCAACGCAGGGAAGGCTATGCTTATGGGCACATGCCTGATAGAATTAGATGTTCTGCATCATCATAATGTCGTATTTACTCGTACCAAGACTACTAAGAATATTGAGAGGATCATAAAATAAGGGATGAGAGAGAGAGAGAGGAAAGGACGAGTGGATCATGAGATGCTGGATCTCCAGAGATGGTACCTGAAACTTAAGACTGTGAATTGGGAGATTTAACTTTCTACCCCATTAAAAACAGGGATCGTATCTATCGAATGCTAAATCTCAACATTTGATGATATAACAAATGACTTGTTTTACCTTGTCAAAGCTCCATTTTGCTGTATCTTGAAGTTGTTTCTGCATGTATGATGTTCCAGACACCAAAAAAAAACAGACCTTTGCTTTGGGAATCAGGCTGTGCACAGTATTATACAGTATATATACACACACACAACAGCAACTGTCCTTAGTAAATACTAGCCAAAAGTTGAGTACCATATCAACTCATATCTGAATGTCAATTGAAATCACAAATAAATGTACAATATACTTCAAGCTTAACTTGAGAGATTTTATTAATGTTGAATTATTTTGCCTCAGTGCTCACCTGAATTGTAATCACAGATGTTCTTCACTTGTGTTTATCTGAATGGTCAGGGTTCCAGCCCGAAGATTGCCTTAAATAAAACTGTTAATGAATCAGGCAGGAGTATAAGGGAAATTGTGTAAATTTGTGCATGTTTTGTAGTCTTTAAAAATCGTATTCAGTGTACATGTCAATTTCATAGTGGTTTTGTATCGACACAGGGAATCAACAGAAATAAATGTCTGCCAACTACTTCAACATGTCCTCTGGATTCTGTGTTTTAAGAACTAATACAGTTAAATTAAAGGGATAGTTCACCTAAAAATGAACATTGTCATTATTTACTCACCCTCAAGAAGATAGTTTGAAGAACGTTGCTGGTCCTTCTAGACTTCCTCACTGTTTTTTCTTCTCTATTCTACGGAAGTCAATGGGACCAGCAACTGCTTGGTTACCAACATTCTTCAAAATATCTTCCTTTATTTTCAACAGAAGAAAAAACTGCACACGTTTGGAACAACTTGAGAGCGAGTGATGACAAAATTCTTGATGCATCTCAATATTTCAAGAGCAGTATATACACATGCTACAGTCCTAGGCATTTCAAAATAAGTGGATGCTGTTGTTCTAGATTGGTAATTTTGCACAATGACAACATCTCTAAATGTATTGTCCTGCACACTATAGTTTAAAATGGAAATTATGAATGTGCATCAATGGAGAATAAGAAAGCAATGCGTCTGTGAATTAAACTGTTACCAACATTGATTTGACTTAAAGATAACCGGACACATTTCCAAGAAAACGGGATGTTACCCACCAATCGGTTCACATGAATTTGAACCATACCTAAGCTTAACAGTTATCATTAGACACTTTTTAATAGGAATCAGTATACATACCATATTTACACTGAACATAGACAAAAAGTTTGCCAAGGCTACCTGAAATTATTTAAAATAAGTGTTGGCCAGTGTGTTGATTCAGATAAACACAATTAAAATTTTATTTAACTTTGGTCAAAAATAATCAAACAAGTGTACACTTTCACAATGTTATCATCATCATCATCATCATCATCATCATTTAACAAGGAACAAGGTCCGAGTACGTAACCGACCCTAAAGTTCCCATATTTAAAGAGCGTCACAATCAGCTATACAACAACTTTGCACTTGTCAACCGTTAAGTTTCGTTTGTCATTTTGACATCAGTTTTGCAGCCGCATGTCAAAATTCAGCAGCACACGAACTGTTGTCACCGGTTTCTTTAAACCACATCCCGATGCACGATAAATCCGCTTAGGGCAATTTCTGCGCAACTTTTTCTTTTGCGCAGGAATTGAGGCCAAGGAGTATCTCAACATTGGTATGTGATCAGTTTAACTTCGATTGACTGGAGGAAAGCCAGTTTTGTCTCTAGAGGCACTCGACACATCGGTTTCAATTTGAGTGTTCTACGCCGGTCACCGACCGTACGATATCTTGTATATTAGTGTCCAAATACTAAGCCGCAAGAACCGTAGCAGCACACGAACGGACAAACGGAGTGCTAGAAGGACAAATAATGCATGTAGGAAGAATTGTGGGTAAGGTAAGCCGGGCGACTTGATGTCGAGATCATCTAGTCCTCAAGGTTATCAGGTGAGGATTATTTTAGGACAGACTTAAGGCGGTAGAATCCCTATTCCCTTTACAAAAGAAAAATAACTGTAATACCAAAATAAAAACAGGATCTAAAGCAAATCAGACGGCAATACTGATGCTTATGGCCAATGTCCTCATTCAAACAGTGCAACTGCAAATTCAAGTAGTACAACATGGAGATTTGCTTCCCAGCCGGCTCATTATCAGGGAATTACGTTTGGTTTGATGTCGTCTATAGACTCATCCGACATACAAGCAAGTGAAATCATAAAATCGAGGCCAAAAACAAATCTATTCATTTCATTTGGTAAATTCCATGTTTTTTGGGGGGTTGAATTCCCCAATAATGCTGCCGATACAGGTTCAGCAGGATGATTTCACATTTTAACCACTGGCGCTCCAGATCTACATATGCAGATTACATGCAAATATAGAACATAAAATTCATACATACCTGCTCATAATGTAAAAACGCTTTCTCTTTGTAGTTATGTTACTTTTATTAAGTGGTTTGACACCAGAGGGTGTAATATATAGATACAGTCAGTGAGTAGATATTATGCATGAGAAAACAAGAAAAGAAAAAAAAGGTATAAAAACAGAACAAAAGTAAAAACGAAAGAAAACCGAAACAAGAAACTGTCCACTGACCAAATTGGAGACCTGTTCTAAGTGCTTAAAAGGTAGAAGATCAAGGCCTGAGAGTCGGGCCAGGGGAAGGAATGTTAACAGGCAATAAACAAACGCTCATGAAGGCCTGAATTTCCAAGTCGAACAGCGAGTACATACGATTGACAGCGAGACGTTACTCATCCTGGTGCGTTTCCGTACTTTTGGTCGTCGAATCATAAAAACTTAAGGCTCAGCCGAAAGACGAATACATGTACGACTTTTGCGAAGTTGATCTGGTCTGAATGCTGATTGGTGCCGCTGGAGGTTTGGTTGAAATTGGCCTTCACCTCTGCTTTTATTTTTTATTTTAATTATTGACGCCCTCTTTTTCCAAAATATACAATGTCTCTCAGCTTCCTTGACTACATGTGAAAAACAAGTGCTTCACTTCTTTGTCAGGATGACAACGGGGCCATATTTCTCTAACAGATTTAACGACTAAGCAAAGTACGAGATTTCTCGAGTGTCCTCCGACCGGGGCCGGGGGTAACGGGGAGGAGGGGATGTTTCTTTTTTCTTGATTTTTGTTTCTTCTTGGTTTTTAAATCACTCTTTCTTTTTTTCTCTTTTTTAGTTAAGTTTGTCCTGGAATATATACAGGTTGTTGGTGGCGGCCACAGCTATGACGTTCTCTTTCGGGTGCCAGGCGGTGTGTAGGATCTTCTTGTTGAAGTCCAGGCTGTCCACGCTGATTTCGTCTTTCTTCCGTTTGCCGCCGGTGCAGACCTTGCGGGGTTTGAGCATGGCACGGGGTTTACTGTTCTCCCTCGACGCCTCCAGTGTGATGTCCCTGCGCGTGTTCCTGTCAAACATCCTAAAGAAGTTGTTGTAGGAACCCGTCATAATGGCACTGAGGAGGAGGGAAGCACAGGGGCGATGAGAGGGGAGGAAAAGAATAAAGATTAGTCACCATTTACTTATTGTAAAGTACCTAAACGCAGTCTCAAAAGGCTCTTGAGTTTGAGAATTTCTGCACAACCAAATGTAAAATAATGACTGTTTTCAATCAGTCACACCACTGGCCGAGCCTTTGTTTGCATCTTAAACACTGTTAAGCATTGGTTTTGCTGCAGGACATCTGATTTGTAGGCTTGAATGGTTTCAAACTATTGGTTTTAACTATATTGATTCAGTTCAAAAGCCTGATTCAGTGATTCTTTCAGTCCCATCAGAAATGTTCAAGTACCACTTCATCAACAAGAATCAGAACCTTTTTTCTTACATGATATCATTAAAGTAAATATTACCATGATAAAAAATTACCAAGTATCTTCCACTCAATTTTTAATGAGTACTTTATATACACTCAAATATTTCACACAAAACATACCATTATCCAGTCTTTAAAAATATGCACAAATAATATGGCATGTCATCCACACAAATTGTTGTGATTACTGGAATATTGACAAATCTAAGATAAATAGTTTTTTTTTTAATGTAGCAGACTTGCTTTCACCCTCCAAAGAACTCGACCCAGAGAAACCTAATTAAAATGAAATTAAAACTTTAAATACAAATTCATAATAAATAGCTGAAATGAATAGTAAATATAATATTTTATTTATTTTATCTATATAAAAAATTTAATTAATAATAAATATACACACATATATATATTAGGGCTGTCAGTTAAACGCGTTATTAACAGCGTTAACGCAAACCCATTTTAACGCCGTTAAACGGCATTTTTATCGCGCGATTAACGGTCTTTTTGGCCTAGCAAACTTTGTAGTTTTTTTCACATGCTTTTTTCGACAGGACGCGGCATTCGCGGCGCGGCACTATGAAACCCATTCATTTCAATGGCTTGCACCGCGCGAGGACGTTTTGTTTCTTCGTCGACCAAAGCGCAAGCGGATCTAGCTAGAGCGGAAAACAAAACAACAGGCACGCCGCACACACTTGTTTGGGCTTGTGAGCCGGCCAAATAGTTGGTTAACGTTACGTTTTGAGTGGATGACGAGCGCGAGACGCCGAAATGGATGCCAATAAGATTCTGAATGGAAAGTTTACTTTTAAAAAGTTGCCAAATGGTTCCATTGACGAGACCAAAGTGATCTGTGTGTTTGGTCGTTGTGAACTGAGCTATCATCATCATCGCAGCACGTCCAGTCTGAAACACCACTTGATGGTCAAGCACACACACACACACACACACACACAGCTGATGCGAATTCTCATTAAAAGAATTCTCAATAAAAAACATTTGCACAAAGCAAGCCGATCCACTTTTCCATGTTGATAAGAGCATTAAAATGAGAAAAAAATAATGGAACAAAAAGAAATCAAGAGACATTTAGAATAGATAAAAATGTGCGATTAATTGCGATTAATCACAAGTTAACTATGACATTGATGCGATTAATCGCGATTAAATATTTTAATCGTTTGACAGCACCAATATATATATATATATAAATAAAATAAGGGTTGTCACATTATTGGGAAGGATAAACTGCTTTAAAATGTGGAACTGTAGGAATAGGACTTATATAGAGCATGTGGGAAGCAGCGTTTGGAAAACCTCTACATTCACTCTCATGAAATAGTTTCGCACCTGTCTGAACCGTTCCAACAGCACTCAAACTTGTCGAAAATGCAGTCGTTCTCGTAGAGCGAGCACAACTTGCTACGTAGGTACTCGTGTACCTGAAACAGAGAAGCACATGGGAATCAGCAAAAAACATATCACTCTCAAAGACACATTTAAGCACTGTGTGAAACGTTGGGGAGGTGCCGGCGCTATTTGAAGAATGTATTCATTGAAGACGTGCAACACCATGTTCTGAAAATATGCGAAACCTGAATGGACATGCTCTGGAATGCCAGTTGTCGCAATAATCAGATCTCTAGTGTACCTGGTAGGTCTCTACAGGCCGGTTCTCCATGTTCAGGTCCCAAACTTTAACGGAGAGGTAATCGCGGGTCATCATGTATCTACCGCTGTGGCTGAACTTGACGTCGGATATGGAGGAGATGATTTCTGAGAAGAACGACCGGCTGCTGGGATCTTCTGGCTCCTCAAAAACTTTGGAGAAACAAAACCACAATATTTTTGTTGACATTTCTCACTTGCAGCTCAAATGTTACAGCTTGTTTGAGTAGAAAATGTAAAATTGTGTGGTGCACATGTACACTTCCATTCAAAAGTTTGCACAGTCAGTAAGATTTTATTTCTAGAAAGAAATTAATACTTATATATTGCATTAAATGCATTATAAATATATTTACTGTTACTTTTAATCAATTTAAAGTTGCAAAAGACTTCTATTTAAATTAAATGCTGTTCTTTTGAACCTTATATTCACCCAAGAAATGACAAAAAGTCAGTTTCCACAAAATATATTAAGCAGCACAACTGTTTTCAACTATGATAAGAAATATTTCTTCAGCACACGAGAATGTTTTCTGAAGGATCATGTGAAATTATACGGTCCCATTTCCTTTTTGTAAAGAATATTCCAGAATATTGTGGAATAATATTCCATATTATTAAGGAGGAAATAAAGTGCATTTAATCCATCCAAACACTTCACATTTATGCATTTGCAGTGTTATGAAACGAGTGGATTTGACAGGAAGTAAATGACCAGAGTTTGCCGTTTTGCTTTGCTGGTCTGGAATGAGGACAGTGTGTTCGATTAATTACATAACCCAGTGATTACGTAACACAAGGCCCTGCTGACATTGAACACTGGAAACACACTGCAAAAACAGACAAAACGGGAACTCTCCACAGCCTTTTGGTGAGAGTGATCTTTTTCTATCTCTCCGTCTGATAGAAAATAAAGGGATGCGAGATTAGATAAAAAAAATAAACAATCGGAAGAGACATTGGACTGACTTCAAATACTCACATTTACTATGTCTATCGCAGAGCGCGGCGGCCCTCATGTCACACAGGCGGATGGTTCCTTTACTACTGCTGTATACAAAGACGTTACACTGGTGTGGGTGACACTCGGCCGCCGTTATCACCTCCGTCAGCTCCTCCATATTGGCTGGTTTTATATCTACAATGTCTGAGGGGGGAAATCATAAAGGAAACCAACAGAAAGAAGTTCACACACACTTTAAAGCGGTTGCGACGTCACCGCTGCAGGCCTTGGTCATTACTTGGGGATTTGGCTTCTAAACAAAAACGTGGTTGAAAAAGATGATTGGAGGATGTTTTCTAATTGACATTTCAAATATATTCAGATTGGCCAATGCCTTCAACATATATATATAAAAAAAGTTTTACAATAAAATATAAATGTTAAAAGGGTTATATTCAGGGCCTAAAACTAACTTTTTGCCACACCTGCCAATGGCCGATGACTTCAGAAAATGCACCGGCCAAAAATATTTTTTACCAGCCATGAAACGTAGATAAATCCTTATTAAAGTTACAACTGTTACAATTCAGTCAAAAGCAATAAGTGATTGTTCTTTGTCTTTTGTTGACTGATTAACATGAAAAACACACACAGCAGCAGGAATATTAGGCTGCTGTCACTTTAAGTGCTAATGCACGGATCCAATATACAAATACTGTTACACATGTGTTTTATTTCTCAACTTTTTGAACACGTACTTCGGATGTTTGCGCACAGAAAACTTCCCACACAGCAAGAGTAATGAATTCAGTTCCCTTTCATGTCTTCTTGAACTTAAATATTGAATATTCAAATTGGAAAGACTTAAACTTTCGTGAAGATTCAACACTGCCCCGTTTTTTCACGTTCATGTTCTCAATTTTGCATTGTTAGAATTCATAAAAATGTCACTGGCCAACTGGCGATTGACCGTTTAATACTCACCAACGTCAATTTTTACATAGATTTTTACATATTTGACGCTTGGCGAGTGTTCATTTTAGGCCTTGGTTATATTGTTTCCTGTCGCAGCATTATTCAGGCTTTGCAAAGAGGTTATTATTAAAAGTGCAGTAAGCGATTTCTAAGAAATTCTTTAGAAAGAGAGATAGTTGAGAAAGAGAGATAGCTGAGAAATTACCAAAGAGGAAAAGATCAGAGGAGTATTATTGGAAGAAGGGTTACAATCAGGCAAGGACCCGCGTTAATATTAGAAAAACTTTCCAGCGCCGGAGATACGTTAGAGAGCAGGAAGGCATGAAAACAGGTTGCTTTGTTTCTGCTTGATTCGCTATGATGATGTTGTTGAATCACAGCTGATTCATCCATGTCTGTCTGATGTTAGTGGTTGCCTGTGTTGCATAGTGTTTCCAGTTTTTTGTGGACGGAGAAATGAAGGGAGGGGTGTGTTTGTTTGGGTGTTGATTTCAATATCAACAGTGTTTTTTTCAGAAATCGCTTACTGCACCTTTAAAGGATCGGCAAGGGCAAGTGCACAAACCCAAACACTTTACCTTATTTCATCAGCATAGAGGATGTTTACATAAGGTACAGCAGCAAATAAAACAGCCAGTTTAGTTCTAAAGGTGTAAAGTGGTCATGAAAACTTAATTATGACTACTGGAGCACAAATAGAAATTTAAATAAACACCTCGATAGCAAAATAAATTCAGGGAGGACACACGTCAATTAAAAAAAAGTCACAGATCACGTAAAGGATACTAAAACTTCTATCTGTGATTTCTAAATGCCAGAGGTTTATTCTGAGGTCGTCTGCAGAAAGGTATGTTTCATAATCACTATTTACTGAAATGGAATTGATGTGATATGTATGTGCGTTTGCAAATATTCTGCGCGGGCTGGCTTCCACCATCAAGTCCATCGGCATCAGCACAGGAACCTGCAAGACAACCAATGTTACTTAATATTTCCATAATTTTACAACATGTTCACAGTTCTCTGATGTCAGTCAATGGTCACATGACATGCAGGAAAACAAATGCAATACCATTTTTATTTTGTTTTATTTTAACAATTTTATGATTAATTTGAATTATCTCGCTAACCAGTTTGGGTTAATGCAATAGTTAACAAAAAATAATATATACTTTTTTTCATTGTTAGTTAAATTAACGTTAACTAGTCAAATATTTCTACATCGACAGCTAAACATTAGTTAAGGAACCATATGCTAATACTGAACAATGCTATATTTTATAAATTAACTTCACCCATTATTAAAGATTGCAATAAATGTATGGTTCACTGTTGTACAGTTTTTCCAAAATACATCCATGTCTTGACTAGTCTGCAACACGTCTCGCTCTGTACACGTTTCTGTAAATAACAATAAGCAGTCCTGCCCCACTGACAACCGGACACATATATCTAATGCGGTATCGAAAAGCATATACTCTACAGACTACAAGTTCGGTAAACATCAGTGAAATGACTTTATATATGAATTAAATATTGATTAACTAAAAACCAGTGCTTCACTGCACAGCTCCTGGCTGCACCTGCAACTCAGAATGTCATGGGAATAAAAGAGACAGACTAACCCGTAGTGATGTGATTCGAAACGGATCTCGCAGTCTTCCATCTTCATCTTTAAGGTTGTATCCTTCCGCTCGTTTGTCCCTTTCACTAATCTTCCATAGTTTAATGGTTTTGTCTTTTTGATAAGAAAATTATACAAATCAGTAACAGACAAACTGCATATCTAAAACCTAGTGAGCTAAAATGGAGCCAAAACGCAACCATGTTTTCCTTTAATCAGTGCAAAATACATCATATTTTTGTCAGGATGATCCCAATACTGTCTAGGTAGGCAGCTCAAATAGTTTGGGAACATCTATAGAAAACATACCATTCAAAAGTTTGGGGTCTGTATGATTTTTTTCACGTTTTTGAAAAAAAAAAAAGAAGTATATTATGATCACCAAGCTCACTAAATAAATATATGTTTTTTTTTTTTACATATATCTTCTATGGAAGTTTTAGGACCGAAAAATGTTCATCCAATCATTGTATTTGGTCCGAATGCAATGATAGGATGTCCTAGCTGCCTGTCAAGAGTATGCATTTCCATACCTCTGCGCACCTGCTCGAGCAGACAAAACCAAAACAACGAGCTTATGCTGCATGTCGTAATCGTAATTACAAGATGGTAATCCGTGACCAGGAGCAGTTCACGTCCTCAGACTTGGATTTATGCGTTACTCTGGCAACACTATCAATGGCGAAATTAATCTGCAGCAGTCACCTGGTACAAGTCAGAGCTTTGTAAGTTGTTCATGTTCATTATTATTGTAATGTTATGTGCTTTGAGACATGAGGTAATTGAATGCTGTCTCTCGTGACGCTTTGCTGAATCTGCTCCGTCTGTGTGTGACCATGTGTTTTGAAGGTGGTGTGGCTTTAGAGCGCACTGGAGGGAGGCAGGGTCCGAAATTAACTTTTTGGCTCACCTGCCACGGGGACTGGTAGATGAAAAAATCCACCAGCCAAGCATATTTTTTACCGGCCAAAATAATAAACAGCCTTTTTGTGACACATATACATTAATTTATATATAGGCTATATTTAAACATTTTTGTCATTATATTTCTGGTCTATTATTTTCCATTCTTACTTTTATTTACACACATATTACACAATTTACACACATTAAAATAATATTTTTGTGGTGGTGCCTATGAAAATAGTTCTGTCAAAAAAATGAAATGCATTAATTGTATATTTAATAAAATGTATGCAATAATATATTATAATTATTTCAAAAAAAAAAATTTAGTTTTACTCTGCCTATTTTTGACTGATCCGATCAGTAACTGGAGGACTGGAAATATCAGTTGTTTTAAGCATTCATTAAAATGAATCGGTTCAAAGGAGTCATTAGTTCGCGAATTGGACGTGTCATTATCGGATGTGTACGCGTTGTGTGATTATCCCGGCAGCTAGGACATCCCACAAGATTTGTGTCAACACAGAAAACATTTCATCACTGGATAAGTTTTTTCGTTTATTTAAAGTGTGGTTTAACTTATGTAAGCTGAATGGGCGGAATGCTTTTCAGAGAAGATAAGGTATTTTAGCATAATTCAGGAAAAAAAATATTTCCGAATGCTTCACATGAAACTATGGTTTTCCGACGTTTTACCATCGTGTCGATTTATTTTGATTAATATGTGCCAGGGAGAGAGAGCAAGACGGCGCTTAGGAGACGGTGAAGCCTTGTTTATACTTTCGCCTGGCTCCGAAGAGAAAGAGCGCGGGCGCGACCGGGGCTCTCTCTCTCTCTCTCTCTGCTCGTTCTTCAGTTGCGCTCTGTCACTTTCAATTCCCATCCCGCAAACACTTACAACTCCATGTTCGTAGCCATCATGCCAGATATTTTATATAACCACCAGCAGCCATATCACCCTGTAGCCCAAGACTGGTTGCCCACTGAAGCTAAGCAGGGCTGAGCCTGGTTAGTACCTGGATGGGAGACCTCCTGAGAAAACCAGGTTGCTGCTGGAAGAGGTGTTAGTGAGGCCAGCAGGGGGCGCTCACCCTGTGGTCTGTGTGGGTCCTAACGCCCCAGTGTAGTGATGGGGACACTATACTGTCAAAGAGCACCGTCCTTCGGATGAGACGTTAAACCGAGGTCCTGACTCTCTGTGGTCATTAAAAATCCCAGGATGTCCTTCGAAAGAGTAGGGGTGTAACCCCGGCATCCTGGCCAAATTTGCCCAGTGGCCTCTGTCCATCATGGCCTCCTAATCTTCCCTATATACTAATTGGCTTCATCACTCTGTCTCCTCTCCACCAATAAGCTGGTGTGTGGTGGGCGTTCTGGCGCACTATGGCTGCCGTCGCATCATCCAGGTGGATGCTGCACATTGGTGGTGGTTGAGGAGATTCCCCCCTTCCATATGTGAAGCGCTTTGAGGTCCCAGAAAAAGCGCTATATAAATGTAATGAATTATAACATTACAAAGTGCAATTGTAATAAACATTCACCCGCCAGTGGGGCGGATAGCCTTTTGAGATTTACTCGCCAAACGGAAAATCTACCCGCATTTGGCGCTTGGCGGGTGTTAATTTCGGACCCTGGAGGGAAGGATCTAATGCTTTCAAAGATAGCTTGCTAATGCTATTGCTAGCCGCTCCGAAATGGCCAACCCTACCTTTAATGCATCCTTGCAGAAATTACTTTACAATAAATAAAATCTTAACGACCCCAAACTTTTGAATGATTTTTTGAACTTTTGAAAAAGAAGCAAAATTTACTCTTCATACCATTTGTGGACAGGAGAAAGTGTGCAGCGTTCTGTTGTGGGAGCCATCTGATTTTATTGATCTTCTCCTCTATTTCTAAACTTTTCAAGTAATCAAACTCAGGCTCATGACTCTGAAAAGTGCTGTACACGTTGTATTCCCCTCTTGAGAGTGGGCGGTTTTTACTCTGTGAAGAGAAACATTGAACACACTAGTTAACACATCTATTGAGTCACACATAAAAAAATAGAAATAAAAAAAAACATTCTTTGGGTTGCATCACCTCCTGTTCTCTCTGAAATATGACGACTCTTCCCCCTTTGTCTCCTGTGGCTAGTAACTCCCCAGAATAGTTAAATTCAACGGTTGAGATAATGTCCGCTGCATATGCAAAAGGAAGAAAGATAGATAAGACAATCATGTATCTCATGTGTTCAACATGCACAGCTTTAGGAAAGTAGAAAGCTTTGACATCAAAATTGAGCCAAGTTACTTTCTAAATGCATGTTCTTGGACTGATCATTAATGTTGTGCCAAAGAAACAAAGTTTGTCTTTCACTTAAAGTCCTCATATTATGCTATTTTAAAGGTTTCTAATTTTGTTCTGTAGGTCTCCAACAATAGGTTTACATTAGGGCTGTGCTCAGAATATCGATACAACGATACATCGTCATGAACTCCTGGCAATATGCGTATCGATACAGCAGCTGCCGTATCGATACTTTTGTGCTTTTGAATGTAGCCAATTCAGGGCTCGAATTTCGGCGCAGGTATTGCGCATAATTTGAATAATTCCCGCAGTTTATAATGCGGGAAATTCCCGGAAACATTGATTCACTTTAGCATGTAGGTTGTAGTATTAGTAAATGAATCCACACAGATTATAAAATCAAATCAGTCATTTTAAAACTTTCTGTGAGACGCAATTTCACAAACAGCGTGAGTTCAATGCAGTGCTGCGTCTCTCTCTCTCTCGTCTCGGGCAAGCGTCCAGCGCTGCAGCCGGTGAATCTACACGCTCACGGTTAGGAGTCGGGACATGACGGAATATTCACTTGCATAATCGGGCCATCGTGACTAAAGTTTACCATTTGCATGTCTTTAAGTCTTACCAGTTTAAACATTCAAACAATTTTAAACTATTCAGTACTTGCGCGCTCTCTGAGAGTTGGTTTTCTCTGCGTGCACATAGACTAGAGTAAAGCCGCCTCACATACAGCTCGCGAGATTATATCGCTTTAAGAGACTAAAACACGCAAAATGATGTAAAAAATTTCGTTCTTGGTAAGTATCCTCTAAACACAGTTGGTTATGTCTTAAATAAGCATAAAGGTTTTTAACAGAAACGGCAATTACCCCGGTTGTATGATGAAGTTAAGCGAGATATTCTGCTGTCACTCTCTTAACCCTGAGCATGTCAATCAATTGTTGTTTCTGCATAAAAATTTGAAAATGTAATCATTTAAAATGATTTCAACGTAGAAGAAATTACTTTGTTTGGTGCACATTCCAACACTTAAGACCTGTTAAATACTAGGTGTTTAAAAGAGTTTGAGAAAACTAAGTTAAATTTAAGTTGTTACCGTTTTCGCTTTTATGGAATGTTTTAAGTTTTGTTTAGTCATTGAGCAGTGTAGACATGCTTCAGTGTCACTATAATTGTCATTTCAGTTATTGACGCAGACTTTAAAAGCAGAAAGAAGAGTCATTCTAAGCTTTTTTATTCATTTAACTCATTGTTTTTCAGTTATCACAATTGTTATAACACTGGTTATTCAATAAGCAGATATAACTGTTACTAAACTCAGCTCAAAAGAAATTTAAATTCCAAATTGATCCATTTCGTAATACTTATCGTATCGTGGCTTTAGTATCGTGATACGTATCGTGACATTGTTGGTGATACACAGCCCTAGTTTACATGCATATATCAAAAAACACTTCAATAATATACGCAGCATCACCTCTTTTCTCACAGTGTCTAAAAAGGTTCGACAAAGGTTTCAGTCTCTCTAAACCTCTCCTTTCAAGCCAACTCTGCTCTGATTGGTCAGATGTCCCAGTCTATTGTGGTCTACTGCTTACAGCGCGTGTTGGAAACAAAACGCCCTGTAATATATCTGAATTTCAGTTCCTGAGCTTCTTCAGCGCTTGTACGAACAGTAACAATGGAGTCAGTTTAATCGTATCAATTCGAGCCAGAGTCTTTGAAAGTGGATTTACTTCGCAGAGCAGAAAACAGCGTCTTCAACAAAACGAACCAAACTCTTCCGGGCTTCAGCAACAACTACAGTGTATAATTGCGGGTCAAAGTAGATGTTGTTCGCACAAGTCAATTAAGACCACCGGCTAGCATTATACAAATTGACTGGAATTACTGACAACTCGTTTCAGGCAGCTCAGAATCGGTTCTTTGTCCATTTATCAGCACTTTGATCTATGAAACTTTGCAGATGTTGATTCACAAACAGCTATATGACACACTACATATGAGGGGAACTTTAAAACATTCATTATTCTCATCTTCATACACGCTCAAGTTTAACATGTTTGAACCTAAAACTCAAACCGGAGTTAACACAAATCTGTTCAGTGTGAATAATGTCCTCTCTCCACCTCTCTGATCTCTCTCGCTCTGAGGGAAGGGCACAGGGATAAATGGAGGAATGATTCAGTGTTCCTGAAAAACAGAACAATTAGCTCGACGCACACAGACCTGGCCTTCATTTAGACAACGGTTCACATGCCAAAAACACAGTATGAGAGATAACCAAATGCCTCTTGTACATTTATAGAACTGAAACAAAGATAATGGCTATTTGGTTTCTTTACTGTGGATTTAATGAGGAAACTTTACACCAGGTGAGAAACGCTGATAAGCAACGAAACAAAATGGAGAAATCTGGTTTTAACTACATGTTTGGTTATATGGTGTCTGATTAAAAACAGTAACAGGTTACTGGTGTCTGATAAAACAAAAAACAAGGTTATGATATGATACACAGAAAAAAAAAAGAAAAAAAAAAAGACTTCTGTGTTTTCAGTTTACACAGAAAGAAAACTGTTTAAAGAAACTTCCCCACGGAGTACCACCAAAGCAACGGGAGAACGCAATTTATTCAACCTTGTGACTTTGTAAGAAAAAATAAAAAACAACTATGCAACAACATAACCTGCCCACAAATGAATGTGGCACATGAGTTGGAGAGCATACTTTTACATCCAAAGTAATCGGACACATCTTTACTCCATTTAGGGCTAGGCAAAAAATTAATTTTGTTTTTTTAAAAGACGTCGATTCGATATCAATTCTCAAAATCCATGAATCGATCTTTATATTCCCTGAAAAAGCTTAAAATGCACTGATTATTTCATTTGTATCTTTGTTCTATTGTATTTGTGTTATTGCTTGTAGTTTAATTATTTGTTCTTTTTTTATTAATGACTGTTTACTTGTCTTTAATCATCTTTGAAATGTATATTAGTAGTTTTATCTGTGGTATTGAAATTGGAATCGAGAATTGTTATAAAAAGTAATAAATTAATAAAATATTTATTGTTTTTGACCCATGTATTCTTGAATTGCAATAAATAAGGTTATGACACCCAAAATTTTAGATACCAGTAAAATTGAACAATTCTCGATACCCAGGCCTAATTCCATTTCAAGCTAACTTTTATAAAAAGGGCAAAAATTGTTTAAATATATAATGAATAAAAACGTATATCAATTCACAAAACAGAACATGCAAAATAATTTTATTTTAGAAGGACAAGGGTAAATAAAGTGGCTGGTGTAGCTCAAGAGGCCCCAATGAAAGTTAATAGGCACCAAAGTTTTCCAAAATTATCCTTTTGTAAAAACAATCAAAACACAGCATGAGGGTGAGCAAATGATGATTTTGATTTATGAAAATCAACTAATAAAGTTATTATTTTAATCACAAATAATCATGATTACAATATTGACCAAAATAATCTTGATTATGACTTTGCCATAATCCAGCAACCCTAACCTATAGAAATCCTGGGTTGAAGGATCAGCTAATAAGCAACAAACACAAAGCCCTCGGGTCTCTGCACGCGTGTGTGCGTGTGTTCTGGACCGTCTGTGTGTGATTAATCAATCTCTAGTCACACTAGAATCTAATGACTCAGAAACATCAGCGGGTGAACCTCACTAAACACAGCAAGAACACGCCCGCTCATATTTCATTCCAAGATCAACAAAGATAGATATGATCATTTTTGCATACAGAAAATGAAGGCTATTTTGGAGACCGTTTTTCACATTGCATAAAGCACACAATTAAGCAAATGTTTCGCTTATATTCACATTACAATAATGTTTAAGTTAATAAGCACATAAGATGTGCACAAATAGTTAAGTCAACACTTATATTTAATAAATATTTAAAAAACATTAAATACTATATATAATCTGCATATACTATATTTGCATATTAAATAAAAATAATTATATTTTGCGATTAATATATTTAATAATAATAAAGTATTTAATAAGTTACAATTTAATGATAGCAAATAAGATGTGCACAAAATTCAAGCGACAATTATTTATATATTTAATAAATTCAACATTTGAAATAAATATTACATGTCTTTTTATACATCTACATATACTATATTATAAAATAATAATTACATTTTAATGTAATTAATTATCGTTTTTTTATATAATGTACAATATAATATTATATATATATATATATATATATATATATATATATATATATATATATATATATATATATATATATATAATAAAAACAAAACCATTATATATTTTATTATAATATTATAAAACAATTTAATGATATATAAATTGTAAATAAATATAAATAAATATTAAATACTTTTAAATGCATTTATAAATAAACAATTGTATAATAATAACAACAATAACAACAACAAGTTAATAAAATAAAGTTTCAGTGCTGATACTGAATATCAATAATGGCAAAATATATGGCTCATACTGGTTTAGCAACGTCTCTCAGTAATGACATGTCCTTCTTAAGGTTTATTGTCATAAAAAAGTACAAATGCCAAACATTTTACCATAAAACAATCATTTTATTTCTGCAAAATATATATAATATATATATTTAATATAATAAATAATAATATTTGTCTTGACTGTGGGTGTTGTGATTCACTTAAGCGAGGAGAGTCGTGGTCATTAACTATCTGGATGTTTCATCCTGTGCATCTGGAAAAGACGCAAGTACAGATGCATAGGAAACACCACTGTACTGTATCAGATCCAGAGCAAACACCACTGTACTGTATCATATCCAGAGCAAACACCACTGTACTGTATCAGATCCAGAGCAAACACCACTGTACTGTATCAGATC